CTTAGATACTTATTTATTCTGGTGTTCTCAAGGAAAATTATTGCATCATTGTTACATCATTTGCTTTTATCATACATATTTTGAAGTCATGTATAAAATATTGTAGTTAGCTGTAAGAGGTCCTATGACAACCTCCTATACCTAAACCAAGAAGGCAAGCTTGTGATTGTGCAGAGTACATGAGTCCTATCACCTACTGGATGAACTGTTCACTCTTTTGGCATAATTTTTGCTAATCTTTGGCTTCATCTGTATTTTTGTGAACCTGTCAAGCTTGCTCATATATGCTAGGCTTGGCACAACAACTTCTCTCTGCTGCAACCTATACAACATTTTCTTCAAGAATGCCATTCTTAACACAACTGTATTAAAAGCTTCTTATCTGATCTTAAACATGAACATAGCTTCCATTTGTGTCTTGAATGTTTTCCTATTATACTGATCAATGGTTTAAAGTTTTAAATTCCAAAATTGATTAAACTACTTAATTATGAAATGATTAGGAGACATTTGTGTAGTTCTATTTTACCTTATGCTGAGCCTTGGTAAAAACCAGAAATCAGTGAAGTTTCCTATTTTGTATTACAAAATGTATTACACGCCATACTATACATAAACCTGATATATTTGTTCTGGAATTGTCTTTATCTCTTTATACTACTAGTTGGTTTTTCCTTCATTGCAACCCCAGAGACCTTATTCACACTATAAACAGTCAAAGAAAAACTCCATGCTGATTGCATTCTCGGTTGAATTTCTCTTCCCATAATTCACTCTCATCCTTGCCCTTCTGTTATATTCAGACACTTGAATCTTACTACTTAGATTTCTATGATTCAGTGAAACTTAATTCTTCATTGATAATTGATAGGTTCATAAAATATTAATAGAAATTTGTATTTATTTCTTGTTTACTATGTGTTCATTTTGTTCTGAGCATGTGAGGTAGATCATATTGGTCATAATCATTTGGGATATAAACTATCATTGTATGAAACACAGATTTACAGATGAGTTTCACCAGTTTTTCAAGTTACTTATCAAAAAATGTCAAAATGGTACACAGATCAAAAAAATCAGTTCACAGAGTTTGGACACTTAAGCTTGTATTAGTATTATTTATTTATTATTTTTATTAACATTTATTTTGTATTTATGATTTATTGTTATTTATATCACTAGTAGTATCTATTATTAGTATTATTAGTATTTATTATTATCATGATGTATACCGTGGGGAAAATTACAGGTCACAGCAGTGGTGGCCCGGGGAGGCTTCCACACCGCAGCTGGTCCCACATGCAGTAGGAATGTCTATGGTTCCAGCGGCTTGGAGGCTTTGGCAGGCCACAATGACATGAGGAAGTCCTTGGTTCCAGAAATGTTTATTGTCATGGTGGATGGTGGGTGGTTCTAGGTGTAACCCCCATCAAACTCAGGCCAGTTCCGAGTTATATAGAGAGGGAGAAAGGGAGAGGATCTGGGGAGGATCTGGGGAGGCATGCTTAATTTGCTCCGCCCTCTGACCTTCCTTAGTATATAAATCCCTAGGCCCTGAGGCCTCTAGTCACGCCCTCTACCTGTGCACTTTGGCCTTCATTAGTATGTAAATCCCTATGGCCTGAGGCCTATAGTCTGGCCTATGTGACTGAACAATGTAATTCTATGGAGACTGGACTGCTTTTCAGGACCGTGGGTTCTTGGGGTGCACCGAACTCCTGCCGGTTCTCACACAGAGTCTTGGGGTTCTAGGCAACTCCTCAGCCATGACCCAGGATACCCTTATGCGTCCCACAATATACTACCCATAGTCTAAAGCTGCCTATAAAATTTGGAATAAGATACCAATTCTTGAATTCAGTAAGAATTTCAAGGTTTACCTGAGTTCTTACAATGCATGACTATTTGCAAGGAGCATCATTTAATGAAACCCAGCTACTAGCTTCTTGTGATCAGTTTTGACTGTAGAGTGAGTTCTCCTATCTCAATGTCATTTGGCTCTGCTGTTTAGACTTAGTAAAACAGGATACATCTTACAGGATTCAGAGGTCCAGGTATGACTGGCCTCGTTCATCTCACACAGACAGCCTATGATATAAAAGGGATAGATATACAAATTCTTGCATTTTTATCTTTGATGCATTCTTGCAAGTTTCCCAACCAAACCTGGGAGATACTGCTACAATATTTACTGATACATATTTGTGTAACTTTTAAGTTGCTTAGAGCTTTAGAAATCATTCTAACACAGTGAAATAAACATAGAAAACTTTCCTCATCTAATAAAGATACTCAAAATAAAGATACTCATGGGACAACTTATCAGTTGGAAGCTTAATATACTGTCTCATATTTTAACTCTTTTAGGAATGTCTAGTTCATTCTAGAAGTAGGAGAAAATAATACAAATGAAAAATTTTATTTCCTCTATGCATGTACTTAAAAAAGGCTAATGATCTACAAGGCCAACAATCACAGTGACTACAACTGCACCTGAGGGAAATGCATGGATCTTCTTGAAAAAAAAAAAAAATTATTCTCTCTCTACTCTGTGAAGATCAAGTTTCACATACCAAGACAGTCTTTTCCCTCTCATAATCATACTTAATTAGAAGAAAGTGGGAGTGTTTTTAAAGGCAAGATTGTGTTTAAGTAAATTTTGTCTTAGACTGGAAACAATCACTTTGTTCTTATTGCTCTAAAAGCAAACCTGATTCTTGTTTTTTCTAAGTTTCTTTTTCATAATCACTATTTATTTAATGTATTATAAAGTCAAGCATTTAAAGCAAAGTTTAATTAATTTTTCTAAAATTTAGTATTCCAATGATGATTAAAAATCAGTCATTTAACCTTGTAAAGAAAGAGAAATGGGTAATAATGTTATGTTTTATTTAAAATAATATATACAGATACTTAATGTTATGAATTTTTATTATTTATGTATATTATGTGAGTGTATACATGCATATGCATTTTATTTATATCTTTGGGTTTCTACATGTGACTCAAAGAACTGTTAAAAATATGACACACACATGCACACACACACACACACACAATGCTATTTACTTTGCTATTGCAGTGATACCTGATATTTTTTTTAAAAAAACTTGTCACATATCCTGAAGAACTTTCAGAAAAGCTGACATTTGTGAACCAGTCCTGTGTGCCAAGAATAGTATTAACTGCTTAATCCAAATATATTGCATAATCTCCACTTTGTTTATAGGAACCTGATGTATAAGAGTTTAAGAAATTTTCTAAATGAATGCAGCTAGCAGTCTAAAAGAGGCAAGAAAACTTTTGTGAATACATATTGATAAATGTTTTATGTATTGGTAAATGGACTAAAATATGTAATATTTGGAATGATTTTTGGGTAATATATTTTTTTTGAATTTTATTAAAAGGGAATTAAATATATGTGGGGTAAATTAAATATTGCATACTCATGTGTCAACTAATTTATTAACTCTAGACTTGTATTTGTTTGTTTAATTTTGTGACTATGCATTAACTAATAAGTCTGAACATGGTTTTTACAGACTTTCTGGTTTCTGTTGGATTTGCAAGTACCTTGTGTTCATGAGATCTTGTTAAGATGAAATAGGAGAGAGATACATGTATACTGTAGTACAATATCATTTAAAATAATTATCTAGTAGAGAAATTGAAATATTTATCTATAAATAAAAATATTCAACAGCAGAAACATTTAACTTTTCATACCTATGGAGAAAACAGAAAGACAGAGTTCATCCATGCCAATATTCTCACCTGGAGCATTTGCTGAGTTATACAATGTGCTTATTGTGGGGAATTTAATTTCCTTGCAGAAATATTGAGCACTAAATTATTGATAACCTTAACACAAAGATTCCTTAGAATTTCTTTGTTCAAGAAAAAAGTACAATAGAAATGGATCCATCTAAGAGTAATGTGAACTGAAAAGGCTGCAAAGAAATATTATTGGGAGAGGCATGAAGCAAAACTATTTCCATACTCTTGACTGGAGGGCAGACATGTATGCATTCTGGTAAGACTGTATTGTGGTTAGAGATTTTAACAATGGGGCTGATGATCAAAGCAGGACACCAATACATTGCAATGTTATTTTTTTTTATCATCATACTAACTTGATCTCTCATTTTACATTAAACTCCCCAATAAAATTCACCTACTCCATTTGTTTACCATCCCTAAGCAATCATTTTGATTTTCAAGAGGTGAAAGATTCACTGAAAAGCTTCGATGAGTGGAAGAGCACTGGAAACCATCTTGCTCAGTGGATAATAGTAATACTCTAGAACACTGAACAAAGTGATTTTTTTTTTAAAAAGTTGATATTAGTACTTTACAGTCTCTTCCCATCACAGGTGTCTGATAGCTAAGTATGAGAAGAGTGACTGCAGCATGTGCCATTTCTCTAAATCAATTATGACAAGACAACAGTTATCTACTTTTTAATACATCTACCATAATGCTGAACATGTTAAGCCCCTTCATAGGATATTTTCATATATTAGCAAATGATTATTCAACACACCAGAAAAATGCAACATGGCTTCTACTTAATTCTAACAGCCTAGGAATAGTATATGCTTCTGATTACCAACATTGTGTTATTATTGGCACATGCAGCATCACTAACTCAATACCTCACCAGAGGCAAGCAATACCTTAGCTTGATCTGGCTTAGATCTTCTGTTAGTCACAGAAGCTATAAGTGTGAGAGATTTAGAAGAATAGGGTACAGTAAAGAAAGGAAAGTACGGTATATGGTATATAGAGGTTATAAAGAATATATAGAGATCCTCAGAAGGAGAAGGAAAATACTGAGTAAAATCTATTTGAAATAACAATGCAAAATAGGTATGAAAACTAGGAATGGCAAATAACTGGCTTCAAGGAATTTCCAAAGTCAATATGTGACTCTTTTTAAAGTCCAGTTTAATTTAAATTTAAATATTCATATTTAAAGTAGTTAGATGTAGACTTACCCGACAGATAGGAATGGCTCCTTTGATTCAAGCCTGTAAAACATGAAAATGTTATTTTCATATAATAATTTGCTACACATTCAAACATTGAGTTTTACATGCATATGGTAAAATACTTCCTTTGGTGGAAATGTGTTTTAGAACAGTAAAATTATATATATATGAGTATACATATGTACTCATGTTCTAGTTGGATTGGGCAGTTAAATAAAGTCAAAACCTCAGTCTGGGAATGTAACTTTCAAATATATTATCTCAGTAAGAGGGAGAGTAAAATTTTTAGATATACTCTGTATCCAGTTATTTTATTAATAGTGGCAATCCATTCCTAGAAGTTTTAATATATTTACTTTTAGTTGTAATAGTAGAACAATCTATAGCAAATTTGGCTAGATATTATCTGAATACTTTATTTACAGAGGAATTCCCTGTAGTGAGAATGGCGAGGAGGTATCGTATCATGCACAATCACTTTTAGGTGTGACACCTTGGGAGGAGTGGTGATGTCATGCCAGAGATTATGCTTCTCTCCCTTCCCCTCAAAGCATAGTGTTTCCTGTACCTCCAAGAGAACACATCTCCCAAGGCTTCTTAGTTGTGATGTCTCCGGAAATCTACTTTAAAGGCCTCTGTAGCTCATACTTGTCAGGAAGAAATAGTATAGACCCACTTTAATCTAATTTTCTGATTTCACATATCTCCACATTCTTTGTAAAGTGTCAGATTTTGGGTACTTCTGAATTAACAGTCAAAGAGACTTATGTATTTTTAATTGGATATTTTATGTATTTATATTTTAAATGCCACCTTTCTTCCCAATTTCCCCTCCAGAAGCCCCCTATCCCCTCCTCCCTCCTTCCTGCATCTATGAGGGTGCTTCTTCTCCCACCCACTCTCCTCCACCTCACTTCCCTGGCATTCCACTACACTGGGGAATCTAGCCTTCACAGGACCAATGGCCTCTCCTCCCACTGATGCCCAACAAGGTCATCCTCTGCTACATATGCAGATGGAGCCATGGGTCCTTCCATGTGTACTCTTTGGTTGGTGGTTTAATCCCTGGAAACTCTAGGGGTTCTGGTTGGTTGATAGTGTTGTTCTTCCTAAGGAGTTGCAAACCCTTTCTGTTCCTTCAGTCCTTTCCCTAACTCCTCCATTAGGGTCCCCCTGCTCAGTTCAGTGTTTGGCTGCCAGCATCTCCTTCTGTATTTGTCAGGCTCTGGCAGAGCCTCTCAGGAGACAGCTGTATCAGAAACCATCCCAATATACAGACACTAAACCCAGATGCCAAGAAGTGCTTTCTGGTAGTTAAGTATTTTTATTATAAATTTTTATACAGTTATGGGCTAAATTAGGCCAGTAGTGAAATATTTTAAGTAAATACTGCAATTCATGTTTAAATGCATGGAAGCCAGAGGACAACCACAGATGTCCCTCCTCAGGATCCAGCTATTTCATTTCTATTTTCATTTTTTGTTTTTGACATATTCCATCATTGGCAGAGAACTCAATGTGCAAACTAGGCTGGCAAGTCCTAAGCACTGAGATTACAAGTGTGCCACTATGCCTGACTGTGTTTAGTATTGGTTCCACTGATTGAACTTGTGTTCTCAGTTGCAACGTGAGCACTTCACTGGCTGGACTGTCTTCCTCACCCCTACAAATATTGAGTATAGAAGTCATTATAAGGAAATACCAGGAAAATATATAAAAATATATACTTTTATATATTCAGTTTGGTAACGGAAATAAATGATTGCATCAGAATTCTACAGACCATGTCAGTGGTTTGCTTCCATTCTCTTTTGGATGTACCAAAACATGATCTGGTAGAAATAAATCTCAGCACCTTGTTTACAGAGCCTGAATATACTCCTGACACAGACAATGATGTCACAGCACAGAGGAGGATGTGAAAAGCATTCCACTATACAGCCACCAAGAAACAAGCAGGTTCAAACACCAGTGGTTATTAGGGGTTTAATGGTGTGTATTTATGTAGTCTTTTTCTTTTGTGAATTTTAGATATTCTTATTTATTTAGATCTTTAGTCAACTAATGAGATTCTTTAATTTGTTTGGTATTTTTTGTACATTTGTGTTATTGATAAGCCAACAGACACAGAGGGAAATTGTGAAAATTAATAATGATACAGATGTTTCCCTAATTAGACCAGTGTTTTCTAGCTAATAACAGAGAAGTACAGAAGATATGGGCATTAATTGTACTGATTCTCCAATTTTCACCAATAATTTTAACCCAATGATGCCAGGCTTCAGTGTAGGTGTGCAATCTGCCTGTGTGAGGTGAAATTCTTCAGCTTCTGAACTATCTCTTAAAAATTTCATTGACCTGCATTGCTTAAGAACGTCATAGGTAACCCAAATAAAAACAAGGCAATAAAGAAGTGTACATTTACTTGCCAGTATGCAAAAGCTAAGTTCAAAATGTGTTTCACATCAGAATTATTAATTAAATGTTCTTAATGTTTTTCTGAAAATTCCACATATGCAGCTGATTCACTGGGACATGCAGGGATGTTATTTTCCTGACCCTCATTGTAACTGGTTTTGGTCTGACTTTCTAGTTCATTGTCCTTCTTCTCTTACTACTACACTCATTTGTCTATTCTTCTGCAATTGCTAATTCTAATTATCAAATTGACAGAATCAAGACTCAACCAAGAGTTAAATCTCTGGATATGACATTGAAGAAATTTCTAGATTGAGGTGAGGTTGGAGAACACAACATAAAAACAGACATCAGCATTCTACTGCTTGGGGTCTTGGATGGAGTAAAAAAAAAAATAACTGAATATTACTATACTTCACTGTGTGCTTTCTGACTCCTCATGAAGAATGACAAGTTACCTCATGTTCCTGCCATGAGGGATTATATCCTCAAACTGTGAATTATTTTCTGAAAGTGCTACTGAGTGTTTGTAACAGCAACAAAAAATATAATGAATATATCCATCAAATGTTTCATAAAAGCTTTTAGGGAAGAAGTCAGAGTTTTAAAAATGATATCAGATTGAGAGTTTTGATGGTTATTTTATACCCAAGGTTGTTGTCAACTTTAGTCTAAAGCTACTCACTGAGAAATGTTTCATTTCATAAATTTTATTTATAGTCATAGACTAAAAATGCTTTATCTTTTTATATGGTAAAAATTCTAAAATATTTTTTGTCTGGTGAAATTAATATATAACATCAAATTCAACATATTTAGAAAGAGCTTCAGGGAATACAGCCATGAGTTTGACATACATATTCTAAGATTGTTTGTGCAACAGCAACGTATTGAAAAGTTGGATCAGATATTCTGTGTCCACAAGCTTGTAGTGCTTGCTACGTGTCTTTTGTAAAACAAAATACTTTTCACTCTACATAATCATCTTTCCTGAAGGAAATAGAAACAACCTTTCTAAAAATAGACATGATATTTTTAATATATAGCAAGATTTCTCCATGATTTAGAAAATCATAGTAATTTGAATTGCTTCTCTGTTTCTGAATATTGTCTTCTGTTTTAGTGGCAATTTCTTCCAAGACACTACTTTCATATCACCATATTTCTTGATAATTTTCATAGCACTGGAGGATGACAGAACCTTAGGGTCATGTGCCTAATATGCACATAACCCATCCCAGATGTTCATCATATTCCTTAATCCATTTCTTACTGAACAATTCACTAAAGAATAATGGTCTACTTGCTGCCCAGATACTCACACTTTAGGTGTTTTTGGTGCCTTTGAAGATTTAGTTCTCTAGTAAATACAGTTTATGTTCTCTTGCTCTATGGATGATGTATAAATTTTATCTCAATCTAACTTCTTTTCCCACATTAATCTCTGGGTTTCCAGTATTTATAGTTCTTATTGTGACACAGTCTTGGGACACCTTTAATATATTAAAAGTAAACTGGGAGCTTCATTAAGCCTGGAAAAATATTAATGTGCATCTCAGTTGAGAAAAGAAATTGGTAGTAGAAAAGAAATTGATTGTAAAGTACATCTTTCTGTGGATCCTGGTTAAATATGATATGTGTACTAAAAAGGAAAGATATTATTGCACATTAGACATCCTAATCCATAGATAACACTCTTGAGCATCTATTTGGTGAAGCATAACAGACATTCATGAAAAGAAATTGTCATGGCACATCTGTATGAAAGCACTGTAGAAGAATGTCACAGCAGCTCACATTGAATTGTTCTCTGTTTTGGTAACACACACTCAGTTATAGGTCATCATCTTCAATTAAAGTATCCAGGCTTGAAATGTAAGAAACAACATTCACACTTATGGTTTCCAATTATATGACATACATCTTTACAGATTCATGTTTCTATTAAGAACAGGAGAAAATCGAATGCTTAGAGCACCTATCAGAGTTCCTGCCACTGATAGGATGTTGTATACATGTTTATGCTAAAGACAGATTGCCAACATTAAGTGTATAAAGTGCTTGTTTTAATCTTGAAACCTGAAGAAACAACAAAAAAGAAAAAACAATGAGAAATATCCTTTCAGAGAAAAATTGCTTCTCAATTTAGTGCTTAGAAATAGGCGTACATTGTGATATGCCCAGAGAGAAATTGTCAATAAGTTTTTATACAGTAAGTGTTTTGTGAAAAAAAGGGATTGATTTTATCTTTCCTAAGATTTACTTTTCCCAAGAAGTAGGTAGTGAATTTAATAATACTTCATTCATGGCTCAAAAGAATTTAGCAGTAGAATAAAATAAAGGCACCAAAGTCATTAGAAGATAGGAGTGGGAAATTGTAAATTAGAGCACAGAATTAATATCAATATGGAGAATTAACAAGATTAAAACTACACTTAACCACAAACTAATTTACATTTAGTAAAGACCACTCATCATTCAAAATGTTTCATCATTACTCACTTATTTAAAAATTCTTCTACTCTTTGAGGTAATTATCACAATTCATTGGAAGACACAGAGTAAATTATTATAAGTATGTGTCTTCTCTCATGGTCACATAGCCAATAAGTGATGGAGAG